GTGTGTGTGTGTGTGTGTGTGTGTGTGTATCTGGCTATTAATGACATATACAGCTATCTGAAGGACAGATATTCTGCACCACACTTCAGTAACATGGCAACAGGATCATCAAGTATATTATAATCCAATTTAAAGAGAAACTTAGATTTCTCAGTGTGTAATCGTCAACATTTAGCATTCAATTTTTGACATGTTGAACTGTTGAGGAAAAAATGCTAACACTGATCAGCTGAGCTAGAAAAGAAATGCTTTAATCAAAACCTGACCACATTCTCTACTGTGTGTAACAGACATGAGACATGTCTGCTCATCCTCACCTTGGCCTGTTTCCCCTCCATGACAGCAACACATGAGTTGGTAGTTCCCAGGTCAATGCCAATGACTGCTCCCTTGACAGCTTCTGACCTGCAACACACACAAAAAAAAAAACTTACTATAAATATGTCATGCACATTTTAGAAAGCAGTTCTAATTCACTAGAATCTACTTCATCTTCACAGGATGTTTTACTGAATGTGTCTTGGAATAACCCACAATCATCATAAACACTGTTTGCTCCTATGTGAGTTTGCTTCTTTTCACTCTGCTACTAATAATCATTTTCAACAGGACATTTAAAGTGATTTGATGGGATTTTGTGGTAATACTTACGCATAGTCTCTCCTGGATAGGGCTCTGAGGGCATCTGGTTGGAAGCCACTCCAGCATGCCTACGAATACATCACAAAACAGACGCACAACTGTTACCAAATATTACCAAGACCGTTATCAAAGTGGCCAAGTGAATTACAAAGAATAGAAATGAAGAAACTCAAGTAACAGAACACAAACAACCTTAGTATGTCGTAAACTTTTAGAATCTAGAGGCAGTAAAATGTTGAAGGACTAGATCGATTAGATCATATGTGCTGAAATGTTACCATCCAATGATGTAAAGAAGCTGGAAAACTAATACTGCTGACCATACACAGGTCATGAGTGTATTAATAAAATTTTGGGACATGCGAGAAATGTTGCAGCATGCTGGGGGTGGGGAAACATCACTGAAGGTCACTGACTTGGAACAGATGAAGCACTGTCTCACATCATACAGTGAAATATGCAAGTCAGCATAACTTACATTTGTAAACGTATGGCACACGGATATAGTTCAAATTAACACAAAGTGCAGTATGTATTTAAGACAAATGGGTGACAGATTAGCCGTCAAATGGAAGATGACACGCGTTAGCTTTGCCGTTAGCACATCATATTACTCCCACCAAAGCAAGGCAATGACGTTCACATAGAGTGGTAACATTATGTTGCGTAGCATCACTCAATAAGTGTGTTTCAAAAGTCAGGTAAATGACAATTAAATAGATATAGATAAACACGATTTCGTAACCGGCCTCAAGCTAACTGTTAGCATGCTAAGCTAGCCGGACTTCGACACAAAACCGGATTTGTCATTTGTCGTTATATTAGATATCAGCCGTGTGTTTCAATTGTTAATATGAGTTTGTTTGAACTAACCTTCTTGACCAGAGAGGACACATTTCTTGTGTAGGTCCTTGTCGGGAGAGTCCTTGAAACGTTTCTGGCGACACTCAACATTTTGACAATTCGGCTAACGGTAATTAAATTTAATAAAAATGTCCGCAGCGTTTAATGTCAAAACAGAATCTCCGAACTGGTGAAGAGCAAAGAACAGCTAAACGATGTTAAATGTCCAAGTGTCGTCAGACGTCCAGGAGAAAACTGTAGAGCTCAAGTCGAGCAGCACCGCTTGTCTTTGGACTTAAACAGCAAAGGGACTGCGAAGCTTCTTCTGGAATTATCCAACACATGTTGCACCATGCAACGTTAAAGGACCCCAAATCGGGCTGCCTGTTTACTGCCTGAATATGTTTTACAGTTTAAAAAAATATTATCGAACTGTTTATGAATTTACCATGCAGGTTTTCTTGCTAATATGATATAGTTGTTATAATCCCTGTTTTTAATATCAACATTTGACAGATTTGTCCTATTTTATTTTATTTTTTTTGATTTTGTGATTAGGCAGAGAACAGGGCAGCTACACGTAGTGGGCATGTGAAGGTCATGATGTAACGAGGGGTGCGCAGGAGTTTCAGTGTGTTACATCCTATGGTTACATCCCATGGTTACATCAGGGATGTTGAATGAACAAAGGCTACCTGCTGCACCATGAAATGGTATTGTTAATACAGAAACTTGTATGTACATACAATAATATGTGTAAAATGTAATAATAATACACATATTGTATTTCTGTGGTCTGTGTTTTAATACCTGCAGTTCTAACCAAATCTCCTCCGGAATACTAAAGTTGAAGTTGAAGTTTCGGACTTATTTACATTCTTACCCTGTACACATCTGAGAAATGTGTATCTGTAATACAAGTGGGAGCAACTTTCTTAAAACTACGAGCAACCCTTTTGATAGCTCTCCGCTGTAGTTTTTTTTTTTTTTT